CACCGAATCATTCAGCTGACGGTTTCTTATTTTTCGCAGGCCAAACACTGAGCAGGGAATTATTACCCATCGATAGGACAAGTGTAAGCCAGCTCTGAGACCAAGCTAGTACAGCCATTGTCACTGCCCTGAATGTTTGGCAACTCGGCTAGACAAATTGGGGTAAACACAAGTCCTATCACCACGGCACAGTCAATGCTGCCCTCCGGAGATATTCCTGCAAAAATATCAAGGCAAGTTCCAGCGTTGGGAAAACCACCCACGGGGGCATATTTCCCAGCCTATGAAATCAAATCACTGTGATGCCGAGACGAACTGCCACCCAACAGCCAAGGCCGATGACCACCTGTGGCATCGCTGACACATCATTGAGACAAGTCGGTGTATGGCCAGGACCAACCAACACACAACAGCCAACGCTGGCCTCCAGAGGCGATTGCGCAGCTAGCCTTGCAATGTTGCAGCATGACAGAGTGTAAGGAAGCAAGATCGGCGTTGCTGGACTGGCGCGAGCGAGGCGAGCGTGAAGACGAAGGGAATGAAGTTAAAGAACAGCCGGCCAAAAGAACCGGTGCTGTGCGAGGCTCATTCTTTACGACATACGTCTTACAGTCGAAACCACTTATACCAATACAAGTTTTATAAAGATATATCTGTTATAACAATGAGAAGCTGCTGCTACATCAACTTTTGATTTCTATGGCGGAATAACCTGCTTAGAGCCGTATGGCGCATCATCAGTAACAACAATGAATTCTGGCTGTAGAGTGCCTGTGCTGAAAGGCAATGGGGCACGAAATCCCTGAAGATAAAAAAAATTCAAGCCAGTAAACTCCCGCCCACAACCCCCAACATCTCCCAGTGCACTTTGGTACTTGTGGTATGCTTCGCCCCAGTGATGTAGCGTTGGGGCAAAGCGGACTTCCAAAAGGCACTACAGTGCAAAAGCAACAGTGGCTTTCTTAATGCATTTTCGAACACGCAATTTGAGTTAAAAGCTTAGAACACAAGAGTTTCAGCGTCCAAAACTTCGGATGTCATACATAGGTTCTATAAAGGTTGAGCAAGTGCACACCAGTGCCAGTGACGAAGACGGCTGAGGTAGAGATAAAACGAGCTGGCCATTTCCATTGCACCATAGGTGCATGTGATAACATCGCCCTGTGTGTGAGGCACGCTGTTGATGGCCCCCTCAAGTGGAGAGAAAAGGCCCTGCGTGTCTATCGTGGTGCGAAAAAGCGTGGGCAAAGATGGGCTGCGTCATTAGAGTAGCAACATGGAACTTTTAAGGGCACGGTTGCTTGCACTAATGCTAGTGATATCTCGGCAGCAATCAGCAAATGGCCCGCTTACTTCGCGTGGAGCACCAAAACTGCTCCATGAAGCCGCCGTATTCCCACCAGCATTATGAAGAGTTATGGAACATGGAATCAAGCAGAGTTAGCGAATAACCTTAGTTCATATGACATTCCAATTTGTTGCTGTAGCATTCATTGCTTCGCCCTTGAGGCGAGACTGTTTGTTTTGTGCCGTCACCAACGTCACGGAGGGAGCATTGGGTGATGATAGGAGCTCGCTTGGGCTAACAATAGAAAAATTCTGATTACAAATGTCTAGTGGCATTTTTCCTGTTACCATTTCGTGATTGGACACACTGACCAAGAAACTTTCAATTGCGCTAAAGAAACTAGGTACCATAAAAATTGGTTGCAGTCCCTTTGAAATTTCTTATGCGACTGCTGAAGCACCTGAGACCATTACGCTCGTGGCATTTCGCATATTCCCTCCTTCGTGGCTTTGAGGAGCTGGTTCAAGCCTGTGCCATCACGTTATCTCACAAGACAGTTGAGCAAGACCAATGCGAAACCAGGGCATTTACTAATTTAACTGACTCATTGAGGTTTTCCATGATGATTCTGAGCATATTCCTTGACTGGCAGAGCCTGTTGAAACATTATGGCAGAATGGTGCGAAACACCGGGCAGTAAAATGCATAGAACGCGGTGCTGTGCTCTGCCCCACATTTTGAGTTGCTCTGCCATAACGTCAACGAACCAACTATCCCATCTAATAAGCATCCTTGTGTACTGATAATGAGCCTTCAAGCGGCAACCCAGGACATAAAGAGAGCGCATAACTACCAGTTCTCAACCCCGGAGAACCACTGAATAAGCTTGACTCGTTCCAGTGAGCCTCCTCTTCTAAACCAGTATGCCTTCAAGTTGAGTTCAGGTGATAACCCAGACAGCACAAATTAATCAGCATGAGTAACAGCATGCTCAGGAATTAAGACATGTTGAACAAGCTTTACGCTTCTACTTAGCCACCTACTGCAGTTGCAGAAAAAAAAGCACAGTCATAAAGTTTGACTGAAAGCCGATATTGTTTTAAGGCTGCTGCACAGACTACTATTGGTCAGGTCCCATAAACCAGTCAGACTTTTCAAAACTTCATGAAAACTACCTGACACTTTTAGACAAGTTCGAATTTCCTGACATTTTAAAGTGTTCCAGGTAGGTAGACACCCTGTAAACCCATGTTTAGAGTAAATTTTTCTAACTTAGACAATGATTTTCACAAGCTATAAATGTTTTCGTTTCTTCCACTTTTTCTATGAGACTAACTCAACCGAATTAGTTTAATATGCCAAGTAAGAGCAAATATCACTCAAAACGTTCTGCAATTAAATTTTTTAAAGTTTCCACCCAAACAAAAAAGTCACAGTTTCGCCAAAAGAGCAAAGCAATGAATGCAATAGCAACATATTCGAATGTTTTACGAAGCAAGACTAGCATTTTCAGGCGCAATATAATTTATAGCAAACATGCGCTGATAAGTGACAAAGTTTCCAGCGGCGTGGCCATAGCGACAAATTACATTATAAGTAGTAAGACTGGCGGTCAACTCATTTAGATCCGATCGAACGTAACTTTACAAAACGCTGGTGTAAAAGAACACGGCCCCTCTGGGTACACTTTTGGCGCCGATTTTTTTTTTGTTGTTGTTGAGAGCGCAGCCCGCAGAAGTTCTTGCCTGCTGCGGAGGCACAAGCCACGCACTGATCGTTGCCTCGATAGTGTGGCAACCATAAGCAGGTTTCTCATCTTGGCACAGTTTGGCTCAATTGGCGCAGCTATCACATCACTGTGAACGCCTCTGAAATTTGTTTATATTAAAATGTAGTGGGCTTGCAAAAAGCTTGGAGCGGACTTATCTGCATTTTTGTCAATGCGGCCAGATCTCGCACACAAATTTGTGTTTCCGGGAGATTTTTATGGCAACCGTACGTGCAAACCGAAGAAGCGGTCAAAATCCGGGAGTCTCTCGGACAATGCGGGAGACTTGGCAGGTATGTGATGATGATAACACCAATACATATTGTTCTTTCCTGGTGGCGGAATATAGCACAACGCTGTTTTTGTGGCGTCCGCGACTAGCTACGGCAATCTGCCGTAGCTAATTGCGGAGGCCATGCTAGTTTACTAATTTTATTTTTTCCACCGAAAATGAATTATTTATCGTAAAATTTCAGGCAAGTTTCATAAAATCGTAAGCCCGGTCGAAATTCGTACATTTTACGGGCAAATCAGAAGAGTTGGGCAGGTATGGTGCCCGGAAAAGTTAAGTTGCAGAGTTGACTGAGGCACCATACGCCGTTGTCAGCGGTCATGACACACCCGAAGTCGTCACCTGGCCCGCAAGGAAAGTTTACAATGACGCATAATTTGACGTCGCTCCAAACACCAGTCATAATTTTTATTGCTACGTGCAGGTCAACGTTCTGTTCAACTGCCAAATGAGGATTTATCAGAAATGAGGAGAGAAGTACACAAGTCCTCTAGGTGCAAAATATGCCTAGTCATGACCTCGAGTTCCCGCCGTCGACATGTTGGAGATATTGATTTCACTTGTGGCTTTTTAGCTGGCAGCCGCTGCTTTCAGCTGCTTTGATATGGTAAGCTAAAAAAAGTGTAGCCTCCGAGAGACGCCTTTTAAAACCGAAAACACTAAAACTACATCACGAGGTTGCACATCTTGAAGGCCATACTTTTCTGGCCATTGTGCACTCATAAACAAGAGAATGCGAACATTGCAACGAGATCGCTGAGGCGCTTTACATTTTCATTTTGGTGTCCTTAGCGATTGGTCTTTTGAAGAACACTATGCCCGCACGTTTAGACCTGATGATTGCGCATTAAACGTACCAGTGCACTTGCAAGCACCCCGCAACTAACCAGATCAGCGCGATAAAATAACACCGCCTTTTTGGCTCCTGCGCGCAAAAAAGGGATCAGAACTTGTTAGAACACGGCCAAAAATTGATCGAAATTTGCTAGGAAAAACGCATTTTCTGGGCTTCACACCGGTACAGTGTTCGATATAGCGGATGCCCCGCTGTGCGGGAGTTCGATATGCAGGTGCACTGGTCCCACATTTTATTATAGGAAATTCAAGACGATTTATTTTTCAACTGTTCGATATAGCTAATATTTTGATATATCTGAGTTTGTGATATAACCGGGATCAACTGTACCAAGAAAAATCCTTGACTGCATACAGCAATTAATGGTCATGATCAGGGTACATCAGACCGTTTATATGTTTTTGCCACCACGAGTGCCAAAGGTTATTTGTAGAGACTTTCAATAAAGAAATAAAAACATGAACACCTCTCGTGAAAAAAAATAAAAGCAGGGTTGGCTTGAGTCAATGCAATAGACAATTTTCCCATCAGTGGAGTCATCTCATGGTTGCTGGTACCTTTTATAATTTTCATAATAGGCTCCTAGCAAAGGCCTATGAAAAGCCATGAAATTTTATACAGGTCACACACACAGGCTTGCTTAGAGTCAATGGAACGGACAATCGGTGGAGTCATCTGGGCAGCTGCCAGTCCCCTTAGAGCACAATCTAGTGCGAGCGGCTTTTAATGGGTGATCTGAGTAGAAACTTTTGGCGAAGATTCCTGTGCCCCAATAAGAAACCGCAAAGTTACACACCTTTCCGAGGATCCACGTTGCGCTGCTGCGGACACCTTCGTGGGTCGTTGCGTTGCCTTGACACTGGCTGCTGGCAAGCTATAGTAGAGCTTGACCCCGCCGAGATAGTACTGCTACTACTACTGCTGCTGCTGCTGCTGCTGCTGCTGCTACTGCTACTACTGCTGCTGCTACTGCTACCAGTGGAATGCTTCTTGTTCTCTGCAAAGGCATAGATGAATTGCCTTCTCAAATAAAAGTACTACTGCTCTCACACAAGTGTAAGGTACTTAATGGTGACATGTTGGAACACCTGGAAGTGAAATTCACAACAACTCGCTTGCTGATTTACTTTTGTCCAAATAGGTTCAAAGGATTCATTCCACAAACAGTTCTCATTTTTAGATAATTGTCATATGCTGATTTACTTTGCAACAGCTTAGGAAACATCTTGAAGCACATAAAATGCTTGATATTGTAGAAATTACAGCAGAGACCACTTATAAGTCTCCAGAGTCACAAGCATCTCAAGTACAAGCGGTATCGCACTATAAACCCTATAACCCTAGCCAACCCTGTATGTAGGAAGCTGCACACTCACGCTGGTTGTTGATGCGGCTCCTGCTGGAAGTAGTGACAGTAGCTGTGGTAGCACCCAATGCCGTAGTGGGTGCTGGGGAAGCGACCGAAGTGGGTGTTCGTTGCTGTGTGTGCGACTTAGGTCGACCCCCACCAGGGTCGCTTGGTGTGGAGGATGCCAGTGGCTGGTTGACTCCACTGCTATTGCTGCTCCCGCCAGGCTGTTGTCTGCAGAAAATATTCATGCGAGCTCCTTGAAAAAATGCACTTATAAACCAGAATGAGCACTTTACTTTCATTACAGCAGTATTTCACTCTGCTTGAGCTGGGCACCAAATCCAACAAAAGTCCTAAAATTACTTTTTGTGCACAGAAGGAACTACGAAAAATGTCTGGATATTTCAAACTGTCAAGTGCAAATAACAATAATAAAAATAATAAATATAATAAAATCATCCAAACTAGAAGCTGCAGCTAAATTACTGCCCGCTGTCAGAAAAAGACACCATCCAAACACAATAAAGCAGACGGACACCAGCTATGCCAGCAACCATGAAACCTCCAACTGTGGAGAAATGGCTTGAGCAGTTGATCACAGCACACAACCAGTAGAATGAAGAACATGCATTCAAGGACTATCTTTTTTTTTTTTGAAAATCCAATCGGTTATTTCCAAAAGTCAGAATTAAAATTAAATTTGGAACATTTAAGTACATATACCAGCTACTTTTCTACCCAGTCATTGTTTTTACTTAGACATCTATTATTGCTCCCCCCCCCTCCCCCCCCTCCCCCATGGCACCAACTTTTCTATAACCTCCTCACAGAAGGCAGCAATCTGTGCTTTCAACAAATTTGAAGGTTTCCTCTGCTTTCATGTTGAGTATTTGCAACTTTCAGTTACGGTGGCGCCGCCATACGGCAACCGGCGAAAGCTGTGATGTGGTAATAGAATGAAAACTTGCCTGGCGACAACGTGCCAGCCATGCTTCGTCGTCATTCAGTCGGACAACTTCTTGCGCGTGTGGGAAATGAAGTCGATAAATTTTGTTGGTGTAAGATTGTGGAACCTTTTAGCTATAATAATGGGTAAATAATACAAGAGCAATCGCATGTGCTGCGAGCTGCAATGGTCAAACCGCACCGTGAAAGGCGTCATAAGCGTGCTTGGTTTTCTTTTCGGCTGGCGACGGAAAAAGTCATGGGCTATAGAACTGCACATCTTGAAACTTGTCACAATAACAATCTGGTTACTTCAAGGACGCAACAAAATTGCATAGATTTTATTTACAAAAACCACGGTAGGATGAGTGATGAGACGATGTAGTAAGGACTTTGGGATTCATTTTGACCACTTGGAGTGCTTTAAAGTGCTCTTCAATTTTAGCACCCGTTTGTTCTTTTGCATTTAGCCTTATTGAAATTCCACCGCCCTGGCCGGTAATCCAGCCCGTGCCAACAAACTCAGCAGCACTGCACATAGCGTGCTGGGATATACCATGGTGCGTAATCCTGAGGCAACAGACGAGTGCCTTTTTTTTTTTCTTCAGAGAGGGGGGGGGGGGGGAGGGTTACAATAACACGCTAGGTACAACTATGCTTTCGCAAGTGAAAAACACTTAACAGCTCGCCGCAACTGAGACGTGTGAGCAGCATGCGTCAGTTGTGCAGCATGTTGGGCAGACACCATTCGAAGCAAAGTACGCTGGTTGGGCAAGATGGCCTGCAGTGTCGCATGTTTACGTGCAAAATGCCCAAGCATCGTGGTTCCCAATCTCGCTCGTAGCTTGTAAGCCGGCGCTATTTCGAATATATGACATACTGGAGCACAAGTTTATTGGGTTAAGCATTAGTTTATGTAATGAAACAATTGTAACTCATCTTCGCTGGCATGAAACCGGCACCTTCGGTCAAAATGATTGGAGTGGTAAAGAAACGACCGGTAGCCCAAGCGGTCCAACATCACCTGCCTCCTGTGTTGTTTATCATTGTCAATATACAGCCGCGTGATCGCCGGACCAAGTGGATGACAAAAATCTGCCAAGTTTCACGCAAGCTGCATGCCCAATCCAGCAGTGCAGTGTGACGGAACATCCCCGAACCAGCTGCTACACGAGTGCGTTGGACGTCGAATCTGGTGAAAGATCATACGTGTCCCACACTTTATGCACTCTGGCCTGAGCTGCTTCCTTCACGGGAATTTATATGCCACGGAAAATTATCCTAGTCGAAAGCGGCAACCACGCAGTGATGCGTGGTTGCCTAGTCTTAGGCAACCACGCAGCGAGAACACTGATGACAAAGGCTCCGCGCAGGCAGGGGATCACCACATAGACAGCCATTTTAGTTTTTTTGTGGCGCCCCCTATAATGACTGAAAGTTGCAAACAAGTTGAAGAACCTGGATTTTTACCTCGGCAGGTAGGATTTTTTTTTTTGACCAGCTGTTGACATTTCAGCAAGCTATTGATAGATCAACATTTTTTTACCACGAGAGGGTAATTCCAAACATTTTTACCCCTCAGAGGGTAATTCCAAAACAACAAATAGGGTACGATGAACCGCTGCCGCCTTGATGATGTGTGGTGTTTGATGATGATGTGTGGTGTGAAGGGCCATTTGATGGCCAAAGAGTGCCAGGTCATAAGATGAGATGTGAACAATGAATATGTTAAGTGGCTGTACAAGGGCCTTAAAATTCCTCGCGCTAATGTGGGTAAAACATAGAAGTAATAAAATAATGACAGTGTCGGGAAATGTATAGTAAAAATGGGTGGCAAAAGATTCTGATAATAAAAGCATGTGTGAAGATATTTGGCACTAGCACAAGTGCCTCATCAGCGCCCCTGTGTCCAAGGGCCACAAGGCAAGTCCCTTTCAATGTAGCCACCGCAGCAGCAACCTCCCTAGAGAGGTCGCACTACGCGATGCCTGGGTATATTACATGATAGAAGCGGACAACTCTCAAAAAAGCTAGCAACGATTTATGAGTCAAAAGTGGTTCCCTATTGACGAACATTGCGGAGTGTAGTGGTATATGTGGTTGGTAGGGTAATGGAAAGTGTTGTCTTCTCAGAGTGTCTAATTGTTCACACTGGATTAAAATGTGAAGAACTGTTTGTGCTTCACCACATCTGTCACACAATAGAGAGTTATAGTATACCGGGTTTACCGGGTTACCGGGTGTACCACGATACCGGAATCGAAGTGCGCATGCGCAGATACGTACATCACCCATACCGCTTCCCGTACGCACGGTATTTTATCAGATTTCACGTTATCGTGGTAGCGTAGGTGCACGTAGTGTACGTAAACAAGTGGCGCTCTCGGACGCCCGCTTCGAAGTGATTTTGGCGTAGTTGTTGAAAGATTCACCTTGTCTGCCGCAAACAACTGTTCAAAGTGGCTTCGCTTGCCTTCAGTTAGTTTCGACGACTGAGTATTACGAGTAAGTTGGCGTAGTGTTTTAGATAACTTCCCATTTCGAACGCACCTGGGCCTAACTACAATGTCGATGTAAACAAATCGGCAACGTAGATGTTTTCGCGTTTGGTGCGCGGTTCATATTTATTTACTTTTGTTATCACAAAAAGAAACTTCTAACAATTCTTCGCGCGGTGGCATAGGCGTTTTCTTTTCAATTTTACTGTTCAACTTATTAACCACCTAATAAGTGGCGCCGCGCCACCATCCCAGCTGCGGCACGTAAACCACATAAACGCTATTCCGCTAAACTATAAGATTACGCTGCCCACAACGAACGTTTGCTGCACGGTAACGCTAATCCCTTAACCTACGCTATCACGCTAACGCTAAACTATAACTGTCTAATGGTGGATCGCCACCAGACAAAAAATATGAGTGTGTCGTGTATGTATGTCCTATCCTGAGCCCTTTTATTGCTACCTCTGTACAACGTGATTTCGATAGTGGCGGCCAATGACCAAGGTGTGGCTTAATAACATGTAGTTTATTTTGTGTGTGTCTATCGCACTTGCTCTGCCAGTAGTCCTTGAGCTTTCATTTGAGAGACGGTTTAAGGTCAAGGGCCAAGATTGATATGGGTGTAGTGGTAGTGCTTTCGTGGACGGATGCAGCAAGCTGATCCACAATCACGTTGCCTTGGATCTCACGGTGCCCTGGCACCCAGCACACTACGACATGTTGTTTGAGTGTGTAGAGTGTGCATAAAATAGAGTAAAGTGAGATGAGGACAAGGTTTTTTTGTTTTTAAGCGTTTGCAGAGCTGTTACCACACGGATGGAGTCCGTATAAATTACTGCTTTTTGTAGTTGTAAATGTTTAATGTGTTAAGCGGCAACAAGTATTGCGTACGCTTCTGCTAAGAAGATACTTGTGTCTGGATGTAGAGGACCACCACCCGAAAACGATGGGCCGACAGCAGCGTAGGACACAGAGAGTAACCCCCGTATTCTAGAACGTCTCTTCACTCAACGCTTCACCTTCACTTGAGAAAGCCGATGGAAGCGCCATCTGTAGGCATGGAAAATCACCGCATATCAGCGATAATATGCTGCCATTCTTGCGTAGCACAGCCTCACCCTCAGCCAAGCAGCAGCGCAGTGCTCAACTCTGTCAAGTGAAGGATGAAAGTTGAGTTGAGTAGCGATTGTGAATACGGGAATTCGACTTACAGGCATCTGTAAAGAACTCGGGACGTGTGTATTTGTGTTGAATTTCCAGGAAGTATGTTCGGATATGGGCAATGGGCACGTGTTTTGTAACATTTAGGAAAGACACATCACAGTCTATAGTCTGCCACTGCCATAGTGGTGGGTATGCTGCAGGAGCCATTAAACTGTGTTCAAGTGACACACCAGTTTCCTCAGCTAGACCCTTCAGGCGAAATGAGTAGGGCTGCCTCATCGAAGACCTGTTTTGAAACAGAATGGAGCTCGACAAATCCTTAATAGTGGAGTATGAGGGGCGCTTCTCGTCTGCTTTCACCTTAGGAAGTATACAAAGGACATGTAAGTTCTCTGCAGATGAAGATGAAGTGACCACTCATTTGACTCAACGTAGAGGCTTTCTATGGGGTTGGTGCAAAAAGCACCCGTAGAAAGATGGATGCTCAAATGGTGCACGGGGTCCAGCATCTTCAAAGCACTTTGAATAACAGACTGATAAACGGCCCCATAGTCTAAGCGGGTGCGAATGAGGCAGGAGTCCTATACAAATTCAGGAGACATTTTCTGTCACTACCCCAAG